AATCAACCAATCAATCAATCAAACTACTTAAATGTCCGTAGGTATGTTTTTGATTCAAGATTTTTACTAAAGTTGCTATTTTATTTTAGAACTGATTTTTCAACTGACTAATTATACGTCCTAATTAAAAGTTGGGATTATAAGATACTTTTAGTTATTGCAGTAATAAAGGGGTTATATAGCATTTTTTTTCCATTTAGCTGTGAAGTTTTTGGTTTTATATCAATGTTTGTTCTTTGAAACTGATTTTACTCATAATAAAACTATGATAATCTATTAAAATGAATACCGTTTCTTTTTTTAAAGTCCTTGTTTCCTTGATGGTGGGTGTGTGTCTTCCTCCTCTAATTGCTGGGTGTTACCGACAGGTGTGTCTGCACAGCTGGAGCTCAAACGCAGCAAGAAGGAGGTTAAAGAGGAACTGGTTCCTGAGTAAAGATGGCCTCCCATCCCAGTCAGAAAGACCCAAACCAACAGTTAAGAAAATGACAAGTTCAAAACCTCTGGAGCAGAGTCGCAAAAATGCAGAAGACTCATTAATTGTAAAAAAGAAAGATGTTGCTCTTTTCATGGTAGAAGTTATCAATTGTACTCAGATGACAAAGAAAACAAAAAAATAAAAAATAAAAATAATGGTGAAAGCTGCAGAAAAGTATCTTGAAGTTAAAGATTTAAACTGGGAAACGTTTGAAAATATGATGGGAAAACCAGTAGGACCGTCAGAACCGGCAGAGTGACCAAAACTTAAAGATAAATTAGAAATTATGACGACAAATTATATTAGGTATGTTGGGTTAAATTAAACAGTTCAGAAAAATATGAATTTATTTTATTTTTATTTAATTTTATTTTCTGGGGGTGAGTCTTGTTTCCTGTGTCCTTGTTTAATTCCTTATCAGTTTGTAAAGCACTTTAACTACTTTGCCAACCACCATAAAATCTTATAAGAAGAAGAAAAAGAGTAAAGATGGCCGAATACACAGACTTTTTAGACTCTTATTTGTAAAAAGTCAAGTATTCTTTTTAAACACTTTTAAACATACCAACAATGTATTTATAGCAAACTGTCCCAATAAATAAGAGTGTTTGCAGGGGCGGTTCTAGGATCAGAGGTTTAGGGCTGCTGAGCACCCAGGGAGCTTTCTGGACAGGCAGGATATATTTCACTGTTTTCTACAAATCGTATCTGAGACTTTTGAGTTTTGTTTTCCTGTGTTTTTGTCTTCTTGGACGAGCTGTACGGAAACTTACCTGGCTTTTCCTGACCTTCCACCTTGATCCTCTCCTTCCCCTTGTACACCCCTCCCTCCTTGGACTGGCAATCCTAAAATGGATCGTATTTAACAAGGTAAATATTTACAGTTGTGCTTGAAAAATTAGACACTCTCAATAAAGAAAAGTATAAATTCTCAACAGTAATTCTAATAACAAGTAACTGAATTTTTTTTTTTAAAAAGCATACAAAATGATGATTTGATAAATTGTAATATTGTTTTTAAAAATAATGACTTAAAAAACAGTCCCAGAAACATTAGAGCACCTAGCTCATACACATTTCACCAACAAACCTTCAACAGGAGCAGAAATCTGACTAAATATGTAAGAACACCCCTGATTGCAGTGATTCCCTCAACATTTTAGGTTAAGAGCTCCATAATGCAGGTTTACCTGTTTGTTTGTTTATCATTGATATTTCTGTTGAACAACAATTCAAAATTAATGGCACTATTTTTGTTAGTGTTGCATTGATACCGATACCAGTACCGGGCACGGCCTCGATACAGCACTAAAATGGTGTATCGATATCGGCGAACAAATAACGCACCAATACCATTTTGAGAGCCAAAAGTTTCT